TATATGTGAGCAATTGATGTTCTCACAAAGTTTATTACAGCAAAATTTGCCAAGGTAACATCACACTTGTTATACTATGGCCAAATATTTTTATATCTTCATTCCAAATTTTGATTTTCATCTCTGTATGTAATGACTCTGTACCTATTTCTATCATAAAAAATATATGGTACCTATAGTAATGCAACTATACTTTTCAGGTGCCCTGGCCTGGTTTAGTTCTGGTCTACTTACGTCGTGGGCGTCACCATTCATGATGAAGATATCACAAGACAAAGAAAATTATAAAATAAGCGAGGAAGACTGTCTGAACTTCTCCACAGTTCCACCAATAGCGATGATGATTACGTGCCCACTCTTCTCTAAATTGTGTGACATCATAGGGCGAAAGCCAGTTTTTCTTCTGTCAGCAATTCCTCAGCTTCAAGCCTGGTTGATAAAAGCGATAGCGAAAGACTTGCACCACTTCTACATTGCTAGAACTCTTGTGGGCATCGGAGATGGTATATTACTAGCCTGTACACCAATGTACATTGGGGAAATTGCTTCTCCAAATATCAGAGGAACGTGGGGAATTGCTCCAGTTTTGTGCCTTTATGTAGGAGAGTTGATGATTACAATTCTTGGAAGTTATCTCAGTATCGAAATAACATCCTTCGTCTGCGCTCCTCTTCCTATTCTATTCGTTTTATCGTTTTCATTCATGCCAGAATCTCCATATTACCTCGTGATTGCGGGTAGAGAGGAAGCCGCAAAAGCTTCCCTCAGAAAGTTTACTGGTAAACAAGACATTGAAGAAGATTATTTGGAGATTAAAGGTAGCATATCACGTCAAATGTCTGAGGAATCAACGTGGAAAGCTCTCTTCGTTATCAACAGCAGTCGCAGAGCTCTTGCTGCTGGTGTGTTTCTCAGGGTATCTCAGATGCTGGGTGGTGCAACAGTGTTCATCAACTATACCCAGTACATTTTCTTGAAGTCAGGAGGAAATGTTAGCCCAGAGGTGTCGTCCATTATCTACATGGCGTTATGGTTGTTCTTCAGTTTAGGAATGACCAATTTTGTGGAAGGCTTTGGAAGAAGAAGAGCCTACATGGTATCCTTAGGCTCATGTAGCGTTGTATTATTACTCGAATCTATTTATTTTTACATAGATCCAACTTCTTTTAAGTGGTTCCCACTCGTTGGAATGGTTTTTTATATCATTTTCGCTTCTTTTGGCTTGGCAACTATACCCGCTCTCATGACAGGGGAGCTATTTTCTGCTAGTATCAAAGCGAAAGCTGTGAGTCTTCTTATCATTGTGTTCGGCTTGATGTCTTTTTTATCCTGTAAAGTCTTCTCTTTTCTCAACTCGAAGTTTGGATTTTATGTTCCTTTTTTATTTTTCTCTTGTTGTACGTTAGTGTCCACATTATTAGCTTATTATATACTACCAGAAACAAAAGGAAAAACACTCGAAGAGGTTCAGCTGTGTTTGGAGTTAGGTACGAGGAAAGGAATGGAAAAGGAGCACTTGTTTGACATCAAGGAAATTGATTTTGTCAACAGGAATTAATCTTGTATTCAGAATTTGAGAATTCGAAAGAATGATCTCACTTATTTTATCAAAAATGATCTAGTCTATTATCATTTCATTTGATATAAAAAAATGTGTTACTAATTCATTCATTTGAATTTTACCTACAGAGAATGGGAGCGAATTGACATCATCCCATAATGGAAGTGACCAAAAATATATCTATTTATGTTTTGCCACCCAAGTTTTCATCATCAGGTGAGGATCATTACTGGTGCTTTGGAAGTGATTTATTGCCTAATAATATCTAGAAGGGTGAAATTTCACTAGCGCCTAATGAAAATGGTATGGTGTTAACCTCCATCGAAGAGTTCCCAGCTGGTAATTGGTTGGTTATTCCCAATTGATTTCATCAGGTCGATATTGAAAGACAAAATTTAAAATAACATAAGATCGAGGAACAGATGATTTACCGAACAAATCAACGACAATTGACGACGGCCGTCTTGTTAAAGCTACATCTGTCAAATTAATTATCATTTATTCAGTCAGTTTTGCTAAATCACCTTGGACGAATACAGCATTCAACAACACGTGCAAATGGGCTTCGCCCATTTTACGGTCTCCATAATAGTTCTACCGAAGATCTATTGGCGACTTGAAGTTGGGCCATACTAACCTTTCTGCCTTTCGCAGATTACAACTTGGCGAATTTTGCGTCGTGACCCGCACAAAATTCAAGTGACCCACGTGTTGGGTCACAATTTTGGTTTTTGGGCTTCCTGGCCCCTTCCAGTGGACTGTATACTATTAAATAATACGAAGTGGGTAATTAAGTAACACACTTTATTCTGTCACACCTTGTTCACAGATTTTACAGCATGTCGAATACAACAATTGGTTTGATCAGTTTTATTTGATGTGAGAAACACTATCACTATGCTTATCCAAATTAGAACCTTTGATATTCTCCGCAATAAACTAACACTTCTTACAAATACACCTAATAGACCTTTCTTACGCCTTTCCACGCTATTGGTTTCCTAGAGTAGGTACATATCTCTTGACAACCAGATACAGACCATTACACAAGGATACATTTGGTTGAATTTTCTACAAGTTCTGGCAATAATTTGACCACACTGTCCGTGTATAATAAATAATTTCAGAAGAACTCCGTTTGAATAATCAATATTTGCATTCATTTCACAAAATTATTTGTTATTGAAAATCTCTTTGATAGAAACACTTCAATCAGAACACCTACCAAAAAATCATTTAGAAAAGTTCACACATGCAGTTCGTGCTATTGGTAATATTAAATCCCTGTGAAGTTATTGACGATGGCGAAGTAGTATTCAGTTCAACTGTAGTCCTTCATGGTACTGATGTACTTAATTTCAATTAAGGCTATGTTTTGGACCATATTTAGCACAATTTATTTTTTATCTCGAAAACAGATAGAGAAAGGTATAGGGCATTATCAACAAAAAAGTATCAAAATACTAGAGTGTTTCCAAAAATGTATTAATATACGGGGTGTTCCGTTTAAAAAAATATAATTGCTAGGACTTTTTGATAGAAGTGGTAACCGCCGCAATGCTGAAAATATTTTAGATCGATAGAACAGGTAAGGAAATATGAGAGGTGAAATTTTCAGAAAAATCTTGCTTTGCGTTTTCCAGAAACGTCTAACCTACCATCGACCGTGAGTCACGCTGTATATGACATCATTACTAATACCTCTCTCAGGGTAAAAACCATCTATTCTGTAAATTAAAAATTTACAAAACTTTCTTTGAACTCTTTCAATGGCTATGTTATGAATTTTATAGAATGCATTCCAGACGATACTTGCATATTCTATCTTCGAACGTACGTAGGTGAAATACAACAGCTTCATGGCTTTAATATTATGAATGTTTCTGTAATTTCTAACAATGAAACCATAAGCTCTGAGAGATTCTGAAACTTTTTGTGAAATATGTCTACCAAATGTTAATTTATGATCGAATATTACCCTTAGGTCTTTGATCTATCTCATTACATCTCAGCAGATCTGAATCCTGTATTACATACGGGAATGTATAAACCTCTTTAGNCAAAATTTATGAATACTTCGAAAAAAGGGACTTTTTCCAAAATTTGCCCAATACAATGTAAGAACCATTACTCATTTAGGGTAAATATTTTACGTGAAATGCTAAACAATACTGTGATTGGTCCCTTCTTCATTGATGGAAGCTTTACTGCCAACCGATATCTGAAAGCTTCACGACTAGATTATTTACCAGTTTCAAATATAATGTCACGTAGACAAAGAGACAGATTAGACAATACGACAATTTTTATATGGAACATTCAATGGAAAATGAATGAATGAATGACGTTACTAAGAACATCCCATACCAGCACGTTCACCGGACTTAAGCTAAATGGATTTCTTTTTAGGGGGTTCATAGAAAAACAAAATTTCACTAACATCGTTCTATTAGGAATAGAGAACATTTTGAAACTGTGGTTACTAATTATGAGACGGCCATATAACCGGAGTTCATTACGAATGCAGTCAAGAATTTTGTAAGAAGAACCGAATTGTGTATGTTGTGTATGTTGCATGATTATATGATTTATTTTGGACAAGAAAATCTACACAATATAAATTTAAAATGTAACAGTCGTATACAGAATGATATCTATTTATCGTTTCAGCCAATTTTTTGTAGTCCCCAATTTAAAAAATGGGTGGGAAGAAAGCTTCATTCAGATAACCACGACTTCAAATATAGATATATCTCAATGTTCACAATGATGGTACTTTACTCTTATCTAAAAATAAAATTTTCAAGGCTCCCCGTATATTATGTGTATTTTACTGTATTCTAATGAAGAATGTTCAGTTTAAAAGGATGCATGAACTTTTACCGAGAATAAGTTTTTATTGAAAAACCCTTTGCAAATAAGTTATTCAAATGGTGCATACTTTGGAGATAACACTGTAGCTAACAGATTTTTTGCTTGAATATCTTAACTGTTGTGTGAAAGAGAACTATCCTACTGAGGCTGTTGACAAAGAGACAAAACAAGCTACCAAGATCTCAAAAACAGTAGGGCAATGATGTATGAAAAATATTGGACCTGGTCTGTTAAACATGGTACCTGAACACGTTAGGAATATATTATACTCTATCTTCATATTGAAAAACCCATGAAAATGCAAATAAAATGATAGAACTAATTACATCACAAGCAGAGAAGTCACTGATGATTTGCGAGAAGCAATCCGAAAATCTCCTGGATTTGAGAAAAAAACAGTTCGTGACTGCTGCACTCCGATAATGTACATGGCCATACTTTATTGCTTGTTCCTGAATTTTTGGCTGAAACAATAGTGTAACGAGACCCAAGCCTCCATATTCGCCAGAAATGGCTCCGTTTGAATCATTCCCATTTACAAAATTAAAAAAAACCTTGGAGGACCGTCGTTCTACAATTATATATGACACGAGTTTGAGAAGTGTTTCGAGGATTGGAAGAAATACTGGCACAAATAGTTATCAAAGCTTAGTACCTTACACCCATTATGGTCCAGACGTAGTAACTTAACCTTAACAAGGTTGTCCAGCAGTGGAAACAAAACGTTTCTCCAGAAAACACTTTCTTGTTACCTGTGCCATTGCTGTTTCCCCATGTGGGATCTATATACGAGTACCAAACTTCCCCAAACAAACTGTTTATCGATATGTGGCTTGTTTTGTCGATCCTTGACACCTGTATAGCCGATTATGGATATTTCTCTTGTATCTGTAGAGTAAGGAGGGTGAGTATAAACTAACAGCACTCAAGCCACATGTGACCAATTGTACATCCTCCCAAGGAGTCGCCTCCTAGGTCATCGTCCATCCTGTCCTTTCCAGGAAGGTTAACGGGTCACTAGGAGACATCTCCTTTATATCGGCAGGTGTCACACGGTGGCCTCCTCGAAGGTTTTGAAAGGTGCAGCGATATTACTGTCATTGCGCGGCTTCTTCAACCTTCTTGGGGTTTTTTCCGTGGAGGTGCACAAGTGAGGCAGCTTTCCTGCAGGGGCAGCCGGTTCCTTGCCATTATTCAAAGCGGAGCTCTTGGCGCCCATCGCAGAAAGTGGCCTTGCTGTTGGAGGTAATCTGCTATGTCCAGTCTCATTCCAAGCGATAGATTGGGGTGGACATTTCTGTTCATCCCCAGCCACCGTCTAAGATTGAGGTGAGCACTTCTGTCCAGCCTCAAGATTGGTGTTTGTTTTGGTTGTTTCTGTTGTTTCATTCATGTGTGTTCCCACGAGTAGCAAGGGAAGAGTTGGTCACCTCTGGTAGAGCCCCGCATTACCAGAAGTAGGCTGATTACAATGAGGTTTCACCCAGTTCCCCAAGAGGATCGTTCGTGACCACATATCACCCTGCGGCCATTCAGCTATCGGCACGATTCCTTACACCTTAGCTTGGGTAGGCTTGGGTGGCATGTTTTGCCATCACCCTACTTATTTCTGCCACTGACCAGGAGTCCGGCGATCCCGTCCATAAGACCACAATGGCTTCCCGGACAGGGCGTCCAGTCCCCTGGCCGTTCCCCTATCCGTCCCCAGGGGACGCGCCCGATAGGTAGCCCAACCCACGGGATTATGGTTATTTACTGGTGGTCTTCTCTATTCTCAAAAGGAACGATGGTGGGATATGATTTTTGTCCTTCCTATACAGGCTGATTCACGGTGGATGGCACATTAGACGTTTCTGGTGAACCAGACAACGGATCACTTCGAAAATTTAATGGAGGGCATATTCGGACATTCTCTAGCCAACTAAAATATTTTCGACAATGCGGTGTTGCCGCTTCTATTAGAAAGCAGTAGCAACTTTGATTTTTCAAATGGAACACTCTGTAAATCAAATTGAATTATTTCTCTCTTCTGAAACTGTTTTCTTACGTAGAAATTGCTAATTAGTTTATTTCAAGTCCATTTCATGAGTTGGTAAAAAAACTGTTTTCTTACGTAGAAATTG